CCCCACAACCCCAAGAGAAAGGAAGGTTGCCACAGGTACCTTACTTTGCTGCTTCCTCGTCTACCAGGGTAACTACAGAGCTCGTATCCCTAGGTCCATCCTGGGCCCGCTAGTCCCCACATTCTGTTAACAGGCCCCCAGAGTGCCTGAAGGTCTTCCAGCACTAATCCCATTCCCGAAGTTGGGAGGCCAGTCCCATGTTCCACAGAGCTCAAGTGCGCAGCATCTCCAGCTGCAGATCACTGTACACAGCTCTCACATCCGGTCCCGTGTGACCTGCAGGTGGTGGCATGGACAGTGGAAGCAGCTGGAGCAGTTAGATCACGAGGAGGGCATAGGACTACTAGGAGCTTCCGGTGGAGACTGGGGATCTGTAGGCAAGGAGTGAGCTAATGCTAAGGCCTCCGAGCCATGATTTCCTTCTGGAAAATGGGACTACCAATACTGCCCCACGTTTGCCATGCCTGGGCACCCTCGTCATGGCCCTCAAGTGGGACCAGAGAGAAGGAGATCTAGGATGGTGCTGCTGCTGCTGGTGCTGGTGCGTGATGCACAAATCACTCTCCTGGAATTTTACTTGAAGATTTGGAGGTGGGGAGTTTTATAATAAAACTTGAATTTATTATGCATCAGAATGCAAACCTTGTGTGTATTTAAAGATTTAAAAAGGGAATTTTGAAAGAGATGTCATGCTTCTAGTGGGCTGCTTCTGGCTACACCCCCAGATCCCGGAATTGGCCATGTGATCCTGCCCTGGTGCACCGTGTGGGCACGTAGGTAGGGATGTATGAGCAGCGCTGTCTGAGGGAAGATGAGAAGGTGCCTGGCAGGTCGGGTGCAGGCAGTAACAGTGGCTCATGGTAGGGCAGCCCCGGTGTCCTCACAAGGAAAGGCCCCCAGACAGATGGCTGTGCTTTCTTGGTCTCACTCAGCTACAAAGTGACAAAGCCAGGACTGGAACCCCCTGCTAGATCCCACTCAGTGCTTTGCTCCCACCTCCGAATGGAAAGGCCTTTGTTTGGCCACCTCTTAAGTCCTCCCTCTCCTACCTGAAATTCCTATGGCCTGGCTTCAGTCCTGTGGGGACCCAGGCATAACCCCAGCCCCCACAACTGAAGCGGGGAGAGGTTCCCTTTCTTCAGGGTTCGGTTCATGGTCCCCTGGCTCAAAAGCGAAGACAGCATGGTGGGAGGGAGTGGGAGAGCAAAGCTGCTTAACCCAGGCCAGCAGCAGGCAGGGAAGCAGAGGGGGAAGAGTGCCAGAGAGCAAGGGGTGAGGGACCCAAGGCCACACTTTTATGACCCACCTGACCCCAAAGCCAATCCAAGCTGACACCCACCCTAACTATGCCAGAGTCCCAGGATATTCTTCCCTCCCCTTTGTGTCCTGGGGATTGAACCCAGGGTCCTCCCGGTAAGCTACATCCCTCGCCTTTTCTTGTACTGTAAGACAGGGTCTGACAAAGTCACTAAGTTGTCCAGACTGGGCTTGAATTTAAACTGGTGATTTTCCTGCCTCAGCCTCCCAGAGTGCTAGGATTGCAGGCCCCAAGCCATTTTTTCTGCACACCTTGCCAGGCTGGCCTCTCTACCCTGAGCCTCAGAAAAGGTTGATTCTGTGTTTCCTTGAATAAGAGGAACTGAGGTCCTAGGTCAGTGATCTTTTAGAGGCTGAGTCCCCAAATTGCAGCTCAAAACCCACTTATTTATTGCAAAGTGCCAACACTGGAATTAAACTGGAATGCTCTGCTGCTGGGGCGATGCTGGGGTGACTTGGCTCACATGCCAACAGAGAGGGCTCTGTGGCTGCTACAGCACATGTGCCATAGATTCATCACCTCTGTCCTAGGGGAATGAGTGATCTAGATTTGTCTGGCATCTGCTTCACGCCAAGGAGTGGGATTGGGGAGCTGAGTGCCAGTCACACTGAAGTCTCATTTACTACTTACAACACCAGAAAGTGTAGTTGTTCATATATATATATATTTCGTAGTATCTCACTATGAAGTTCATGCTGGGCTTGAACTCACTATGTAGCCCAGGAGGCCTCAAACTCATGGTGATGCACCTGCTTCAGCATCCAAGTGATGGGATCACAGGCGTGTGCCACCGTGCCTGGTCCCTTCTCATTTTGTAGATGAAAAAACTGATGCTAAGGCTTTATATACAAAATTTTATATGCAAATTTTTGCCCCCACCTCAGATCTACCCAGAATTTCCTGGCAGTAGATCTGAGAATCTCTATTAAAAGTCACCATCAGGTAGGTGGAGTGGCACACGTAATCTCAGCGCAGGGGAGGCTGGAGCAAGAGGATCTCAGTTTCACGCCAGCCTGGGCTATACTGCAAGTTCAAGGCTAGCCTGGATTATACAGTGAGATTCTGTGTCAGAAAAGGAAACAACAAATAAGATGTGGTGGGCACGCCTGTAATCCCAGGCTGAAGGCTGAGGCAGAAGGATTTCTTGAGTTCGAGGCCAGCCTGGGCTACATAGTGAGACCCTGTATCAAAAAACTGAATGTGGGCTGGGATTTAGCTCACTGGCTCTGTCATCTGCCTTTCAAGAGCAAGGTCCTGAGTTTGATCCCCTGTACAAACCAAAACAAAAAACTGAATGAATGGGAATTTATTTCAGTGTGAAGGTCCTGGTTCAATTCCCTATAAGGGGGAGGGGATGACCATTAGATAATTCTGGTCCTCACAAAAGTCCCCAGTGGAACAGGCAGTTTCTCAGCAGTGGAGTTGGTGCAAACCCTTCTTGTGGTGATCCAGGGCTGGTCACCCTGTTCCAGAAGCCGGAGTCCCTTGGCCTATCTTGGTGTGCTCCAACCATAAACTTTCCCCAGTGCCTGAGGGGTGAGCGGAGCACAAGGCCCTAGTGGCTTCCTCCAGGTCAGGTTAGGAGTGCCTGAGTCCCTGAGACGCTACCTGCAGACTGGACCCATTGCTTTCAGAAAAGCCACTGGCAGAAGATCCGAACCATGGTGAACCTGCCGGTCATGAGCCCCTTCCGGAAGCGCTACTCCTGGGTCCAGCTGGCGGGGCACACGGGTGAGCAGGGGCGCGGTGGGCAGTGGGCACAAGCGGGCAGGCTGGGCAGGGCAGCCTTGCTCACAGTGCCCTCGCAGGGAGCTTCAAGGCGGCAGGCACGAGCGGGCTGATCCTGAAGCGTAGCTCGGAACCGGAGCGCTACTGTCTGGGCCGATTGATGGGGGACGCGCTGCGCAGCTGCGTGCCCACCTTCCACGGCGTGGTGGAACGCGATGGAGAGAGCTACCTACAGCTGCAGGACCTGCTGGACGGCTTCGACGGACCCTGCGTGCTGGACTGCAAGATGGGTGTCAGGTGTGTGAGGCCCAGGTGCTGCCCAAGTGGGCGGTGGGTGGGGTAGCTGCACGCCCTCATCCCCCTGCCCGTGCCCCACAGGACTTACCTGGAGGAGGAGCTGACCAAGGCCCGGGAGCGCCCCAAGCTGCGCAAGGACATGTACAAGAAGATGCTGGCAGTGGACCCCGCGGCGCCCACTGAGGAGGAGCACGCTCAGCGGGCTGTCACCAAGCCTCGCTACATGCAGTGGCGGGAGGGCATCAGCTCCAGCACCACACTTGGCTTCCGCATCGAGGGCATCAAGGTGGGCCAGGGCCCTTCATCCTGCCCCGCCTGGTCCCTTGCTCCACCCACCCCCAGCCCCCACCCCCCAATCTCCTTGTCCTCCAAAGCTAAGGTCTTTCTTGCCAGGAGGTATGGCTGCGCTTGCCAGATCCTCTTTCCCAGGCGGGCCAGGCCCTGACACGCCCTACCCACTCCCTTCAGAAAGCTGATGGCTCCTGCAGCACTGACTTCAAGACCACAAGGAGCCGGGAGCAGGTGACCCGGGTTTTTGAGGAGTTTGTGCAAGGAGATACGGAAGTGCTGGTGAGAGCCTGAACCCGGAACCCTGAGTGCTGAGGTGCTCGACCCCAGGGCGCCTCCGCTCATCTCTCCTATGTCCTCGTCCCAGGGCCTCCCCAGCGTTTATCTCGATGTGTTAGAATTGCTCTGTGCCCCTTCCCTCTGGGCCCTGCCCCGTGAAGGCCTGGCCTTTCCTCACAACCAAATTTGCCAAGCTGAAAATGCATGGTGGCTGCAGGGTCTCCCTTAGCATGCAGGTAATCTGCCCGCTCTGTCCTGTCTAGAGAAGGTATCTGAACCGTCTGCAGCAGATCCGGGACACCCTGGAGGTCTCTGAGTTTTTTAGGAGGCACGAGGTGAGAGCCCTGGGTGGACTCAGATGCTGGGGGTGCGGCCTGTGGGGGAATCCTCAGGAAGGGGCATGGCCTGACTGTGGGGCTCGCAGGTGATCGGCAGCTCCCTCCTCTTCGTGCATGATCACTGCCATCGCGCTGGCGTGTGGCTCATCGATTTTGGCAAGACTACGCCCCTCCCAGATGGCCAGACCCTGGACCACCGGAGGCCCTGGGAGGAGGGCAACCGAGAAGACGGCTATCTGCTAGGACTGGACAATCTCATTGGCATCCTGGCGGGCCTCGGGGAGAGATGAGGCCGGGCCCTGTTTCTACATGGGCCTGCCGGTCAGATATAGGAACCTGTGGCTGTGAGCCCACAGTGCATGCCAGCAAGACCGAAGCCCGCTGGGTGGGCAGTTACTTGGTCCTGCAGGGCCAGGTGCCAACCACTAAAGGGTGCGTTGCCAACACGGGGAGTTGGCCTCAAGCAAGCCCCACATTCACAGACCTGGATGACAATAATTTAGAGGTGGGGAGGAGAGCAGTGGGCTTCTGCCTCAGCCCAGCTCTTCTGAGGGGACTCTGCATCTCTCCAGAGGGGCCAGGTAAAGAATTCCCTTTCACAAGTCCAGCCCTATTAGGTAGCATTCCCACACTAGAATGGGCCCCTTCCCAATAAAACTAAAAGACCTGGCTTCTAAGACTCAGGCTCATTCCCCCCCACTCTGGTCTCCTCCTCTTCAGCTCTGGACTCCTTCACATCCACGCAGATGATGGCAGGTGAGAGAAGAGTTTTTATTAGAAACATCTGCAGGGTCGGGGGCTGCCCGGGTGAAAGTCCCTCATGGGAGAGGGGAATCCAGGACTCCCTGCTGGTCCCTGGGGCTGTTGCCAGCGTGGAAAGTCCCGTGTGGCCAGGACCACCCTGAGACAGGCTCAGGCATGCCTCAAGGCTGCAGGGGATGGAGACTGGGGGATAACGAGCCACGGGGGAAGCCCAGGAAGGAGTGCAGGAAGCGCCTTTGCTGAGAGCAATGCTGGCCCTTTTGGGGTCTAGGAACCATAGGTGGGATTCTAAACGTTCTGAAGTTGGAGGCCTCTAGGTTTGAGGGGCTTGAGGCCAGAGGACAGCCAGTGGCCAAGACGGCTTCCTCCCCAGCTCTTCCGGGTCTTTGGACTCTGGCCCTGGGGCTATGGGGACCTGGGATCCTCCAAAGACCTGTTTCCCAGCTCAGAAGCCCCTTCCTCCAGAGTGGGCCCCAGAGTCACTGGCAGGGGGGAATTCAGCACATCAGGGTCCTGTGATGGGAGGATGGGGAGTAAGAGGTGATAGTTATCTTATGGCTTTCTTCCAGACCAGCAAGAGATGGGGCGAGGGGCCCAGGGAGGAGGGGCTGGGCACACCTGAGTGCAGTACTGGAGGTGCTGCAAGATGCTGGCAAAGCTGGGGCGGAGCTCAGGCTGATGCTGCCAGCACTGGGTCATGATGCGGTACCTGGGGAGAGGCATGAGTTCGATCTACCCAAGGACAAGGGACCTCCCATCCCAGGCAACTCGAAACTCACACAGGCCCCGGACAGCCCCGAGGGGCATCCAGCCGGCTCCCTGCAGTGACAAAGTCCAGGACCTCCATGTTGGTGCGCCCAGGGTAGGGCACATAGCCCAGGGAAAAGATCTCCCAGAGTAGAACCCCAAAGGACCTACATCACAGGTGAGGGCAACAAGTGAAGCCCATCCGTCATACGCAACCTTCCCTTCCCTCAGATGAGGCAGGAGGAGCCTCTGGGTAGGACGGGGACAGGGGGACGGTTTGCTATCACCAGGAGTCTGTCTTGGATGTGAAGATGCCCTCCAGAAGGGCCTCAGGGGGCATCCACTTGACTGGGAGGAAGGCTGGGCCGCCCCTTCGGTAGTAACTGTCCCTGCAGGAGGGCGGAGCGTAACCATCCAAGTTCAAATACTCTCAAAGTGCTGGTGACCCCTGGGAGCCCAGTCTTCCCACCTCCTCAAGCTCCCTACCGGTAGATCTCTCTTGCCATCCCGAAGTCCCCAATCTTAGCCACTCGGCCAGGCCCAGTGCAGCTCAGCAGGCAGTTCCGGGCAGCAATGTCCCTGCAGAATGGGCCAAAGAAAACATTGCCAGAACTCAGAAGCTCTGGCCCTTCCTGCTGTAGCTCCCTGACAGTTGGGTGCAAAGGCTGTTCGCTGGGCATTGAGCTGGGCTCCCGACCTGTGGATGAAGTGATTCTCCTCCAGGTAGTGGCAGCCCTGGGCTATGTCCCAGGCCAGCTGCAGCAGGTCCTGCATGGCCAGAGGTGATGGCTTGCCCTGGGTCAGACAGAGAGTGTGGCAATCCATGCTGATCTTGGGACACATAGACAAGATCTCTGATTTAGAGGGGACTGGGGGCTGAGAAGGGCTCACCAAATGTGGCCGGCAGTCGGTCAGGAAAGTCCTCATGTCCCCTCCAGACATCAGCTCCAGAAGAATAAGGCGTGGCACCGCCCGGAAGCTGAGCCCCACACAGCGCACGATGTTCTGGTGGCAGAGCTTGCTGGGTGGGTGGGGGCACATCAGGAGATAAGCAGGTTCCAGACTGCACACACTGCACAGGCCCTCTCGGCCGCAGGGAGGAGAAGCCATTCCTGCGGTGGTCCCAGGGTCCCCCCCGCCCAGGCCCACCTGATGATGTGCACCTCCATGAGGAAGTCCAGCTCCTCCCAAGGAGAGCAGAGCTTCCGCAGGGCCTGGGAGGAAAAGGGCAGCGATCCTGAGGTCCACTGGACATTTGGGAGGGCAGTTAACCCTCGCTCTAGGGGCCATTCTTGTCTCTCCATAGTGCCCTGGCTCCACTCCCAGCAAGAAGTTCCAACCCCCTCACCTTGACAGCCACCCGCAGTGGGCTGGGCTCCCCAGGAAGGCCAGTTACCAGTCCCTGGTACACCTCCCCAAAGGCACCTTGGCCCAGAGCGCTGCAGGAAGACAGATTGGGAGTGGGTTAGGACCCTTTCCTTTGTTCCACTGTGTACCCTATCTGAGCTCTGTGCAGCATGCATGTCCAGGGCAGAAGACCTGCAAGGGAGAGAGTACTGGCTCACAAAGCCAGGGCAAAAGGGCTGAGCCAGGTGGGAGACTGGGATGGGCCGAGGGAGGCAGCTCTGCGGCTCCAGAAAAAGTCACATTCCAAGGTCCCTACTGGGCTGGGGATTTAGCTCAGTGGTTTTGCCGCCTGCTGCGCAAGCCTAAGGACCCGAGTTTGATCGATCCTGGTAACAAAAAACAAACAAACAAAAAAACTCCAGGTCCCTACCATTCTAGAACTGGGCCAGAGAACTGACCCTGAATAAGATGTTTCCCCTTGGCACGTGTCTAATGCTCCATCTCCCTAATGTGAAAGGTTTGACTTGGATGTTCATTGGGCCCCACAGAGCAGGAGCAGAAGGTAGGTGGGGATTCATAGTGCTTAGGTTCTCCAAAGAGGTGGGGGACTCACCTGAGCAGAGTGACATTGGCTGGGGAGACCTCAGGGAGCCCAAAAGGCCAGGACTGGGCCTGGCCAACCTGGCAGTAATAGGAATTGGGGGCTGTCCTGAGGGCAGAGGTTTGAAGCTTGCTCAGTTCAAGCTCAAGGTCCCACAGCCTTCTCCCCCACAGGCCTGGCCACTTCTTCTGGCTCACTGGGAGAGGGAAGAACAAAAACTTGCCTTTTTCTGGCCATCAGGCTGGCCTGCCTCCCACTTCCTGGGCACCCATCCAGATGCTCATTCAATGGAGTATTTTCCCCAGGCCTCCCAGCCACACTTAGAAGGCCAGAGGAGTCTGCCGCCACTCTGTGGGGCAGGTGTCCACCTCCGCTGGGGCCCCACAGCAGCCCACCACAGCTCATGGGAGAAGGGGCAGTCTCAAATTGCCCACGTCTGCTGGATGCTCCATACCTAGGATCAGGACCCCGCAAACCATGAGGAGGCTCACTGTCAAGGCTGCTGTCACAGCCACCATCAGAACCAGAGGGCTTGGGGTCCTGGGCAGGTCTAAGTGAAAGAGAGACCCCCAGAGGGCAGCTCCCCTCTATCCCTCCAGTCTTGACCATCATTGGAGACGCAACTCAGTTACACCCAAGATGCCATCCCCAATTCAATTGTGCTAGATAAAAAGCAACGTCTCCCTTTTGAGAACCCTAAACACTTGATAGCTCCCATAGCAACTGCCATTTTTAGACATGTATCTATACATCTACATCTAAACACCCATCTCACCTCCCACACTAGCCGGCATGCTCCTTGAAGGCAGTGTGCACCACTGCACCTCCAAGCCCCTGCTCAGCACCCACCTATGCCTGGCCAACAGCAGGCCTCGGTACCATCTTTCCCAGTGCCCACGACTCCTCCCAGCCTGTGACCCAGGAGTCAGACCCTGGGCTAAGGTAAGACATACCCATACAAGTGATGTTATCCACAGCTAGCTCCATGCCCTCTGGGCACACACACGCAGCCAGCTGGAGCACTGCCTGCCACTGGCAGTCTTTCAAAGGGCAATGACTGCAGTTGGGGTGCCTCCGGATCTCCACTTCTCCATGGCTCTCCGTGACTGAGTAAAACAACCGATAAGGTAGGGTGTTGGGGGATAGGAAGTAGGGACTGGGTAAGGGACATACATGTTTTTTCTAGCTACATGGTTAATTCTAGCCCAGGAGTTTGGGGCAAGCAGTGCCAGGGACACAGGATGGTTGGAGAGCCTAGGGACTTGAGTCCAGAATCCCCCTTCTGGAACTACTGAGCCCCCAGGTATTTGAAGAGACTCCATATTGAGGGGGCACTTGACAAGCGCTCCTGAATGTCCCATACTGGCATCTCAACAGAAAGGCCCTTCCCAAACGCATCTGTGCTTTGTAAGAACCAGGCAGATGACAGTGCAGACCTGGTGGCTGCCATGGAAGTAGGCATAGGTGCAGGCATGAGAAAGGCTGGGCCAAGCAGAGAAGGGGAGGTGGGGCCAATACCTGCCAGAGGCTGCAGGTAGAGCTCACTCCTGGGGTGTATGAACGACACCCCATCTTCCCCATCTGCCCAGGAGATGTCAGTCGCTGAGGCATCACCCCCTAGAAATTGAGCGATGGAGGGTTTGACACAAGAAGATGGAGTAGGCATAAGATAGGGGCACAGCTGCCTCACTGCTGGGAGCTGGCTTCTGAAGAGTGGGGAGCTTGCCCTTCCCATAGGAAACCCAGTGTGGCCATTTTTGGCATTGCTGGGCAGGTGCCGTGTGTTCACCCAGACGCTGAGGGGCTGAGGGCTGGGCAGGGTGAATCAGTTAGAACTTGAAGGCTGTTGCAGGCTGGCTGGGACAGCCCTCCCTGAACCCTCCAGGTCCAAGTCCTCAGCTAGGAAGTGAGAGAGCCCAGCGCACACACACATTCCATTTCTCTGAGAATGGAGGTGATGTGCATATGCTATTATTAACTATTATTAGGGTACATCACTATGATGTACCTTAGATCTCTTGAAACTTCTGAGGTTTGTGTGCTCCGACTGGATATCTCCCAACCTCCCCGCTCAGACTGGCATTCGTTACAACTTCTTCAGCTGTTCACACACCCCACATTGAGAAGTACCAACTCAAACAGTCAGCTTGCTAACAGCCAGCTCTAAATCCTTCCTACTGCTGCAGAACGAGGCGAGGACTTGTGGTGGAAAGACCCAGAGTTTAAATGAAAATTCAGGGTGACCCGCCTGTCGGTATGATTCACCGCTGACTTGACCTTTACTAAGAGCTACTGCTCTGGGCTGGCACAGATGAAGGAGGGTCCTTTCCCCCTGTCCTGAGAGCTCTGACCTCTGGTCATCCTCAGGGCTGCCCACCCCAGGGCGCACCTACCCCGGTAGCCGCCGCCGCCGCCGCCCGCCGTGCAGGCCCCGCCGCCGCCCCCGAAGCCGCCGGCCGCGGCCCAGCTAAGCGTGTCCCAGGCCTCTGCGCAGCCCTGGCCGCCCTCGGCTCCCTCCTGCGGCGAGCGGCCGGTCTGCGGGGAGGGGGCCCGCGACGTCCAGCCGCCCCCGCCACCTGGGGAGCGACAGAGGACGGCTGGCAGCGCGGTGGAGACCCGGCACCCACCCTGCCGCGGCGTCCTCTCGGCCTCACCTGCGGCCCCGCCTCTCCCTCCGCTCCCGGGCGCCTCCGTGCGGTTCTCCAGTCTCTCGAGGGCGGCCTGGGGGCGGCCCCTGTCCCGCCGGCTCAGGTAGGCGCGACCACCACCGCCGGCCGCCACCAGCAGGGGCTCCAGCTCGCCCACGCGCCGCTGTGGGGCCGACGGGGTTCAGGGGCGCCCTCTGGCCACAGGGGAGGACAGGAGGACCGAGGGACCCCAGGAGCGCGGGCAGAGCCGGGACAGGGGACCCAGGAGCCAAGGGACGCTAGTTACCCGGGCGGGGCCAGGTAACCCCAAGAGCGCAGGCGGAGTACGCGCAACGGCGCTGCGGGCAGCACGTACCCGGAAGACGTAGGTGGCGCCCCCGCCTCCTCCGCCCCCGCCCGCCCAGCGCTGCGACCCCAGGACGCTCTCGGTCGCCTCCGTCGCAGCGTGCTTTCCGAGGCACACGAGCTGGCTTTCCGGGCTTCCCTGCAGGCACCGGGCGAGGTTGGCACGACCTGGTTTTCTCCGCGCAGTGCCGGGCGCCCAACCCCATCCAGTCCCACCTACCCGCCGCGCAGCTCACCCCGGGGCAGGCGTCTGCCCCCTGCTGTCCCACCAGGATGAACAGCGTCTCCCCACGACCAAAGGAGAAGATCGCCGACAAGAAGACTCCGTGCGCCCGCGGCAGGTGGCTCTGGGCGCCTTTGCCGCCCGCGGCTCCATAGGCGGAGATCCTGCCGAGAGAGGGTGCTGGGTCCCGCCCCGCCGCCCCGAGGACGGGGCGGCGACCTCGGCAGCTCTAGAACTTTTGATCCGAGAGTCTTACAGACTTGCATCCGACTCTGAAGGGATGGGAAACTAGGTTTGCACATCAAAACCATTAGATTTTACGCAGATTCCAGGAGAACTAATGGAGATGCCGGGAAGTTCAAGCCCCCCTTGGCGCCGCCCCTGCTCTCAGGCTCCAGGCCCTGAGCTCGGCGACTGTCGCCGCCCTTCCCGTGGCCCCACTGAAGGAGGACACTCCAGGACGCTAGGAATGCGCCAAGACCGATGTGGCGGGCACGTGGCCTGCCTCCCCGACTGTAGGACTTCGATGGTAGGTCACCGCCAGGCCGCGTGGGCAGGCACTCACATATAACGCCCGGGGCCCGGCGCCCGCCACAGCTGCACGCCTTTGAGCGGCCCAGCGTCGCCCACCGACACCACCACGCCGCTCCCCGCGTACGCCCTGTCGCACTGAGCTTGTGTGGGCCCGCGCCGGCCGCTGGCCCCGCAGGTGGTGAACAGCCAAGGCCCCTCGGTGCCTGGGAGCAGGGAGGGAGGAAAGGGTCGTCGAAGTCCTGACGAGGCCTGGGCGTCTGGGCATACTGAGCAAACAATCCCAGGACCAGGGATTTAGCTCAGTGGTTCTGGCACCTGCTTCGCAAGCTCAAGGTCCTGAGTTCGATCCCCGGTACAAAAAAAGAAAAAAGAAAAGAAAGAAGGAAAGAAAAGAAAAGAAGAAAAGAAAAGAAAAGAGGGGCCTGGAGCTCACCTAGAGGATTTGGGGAGCCGCTCGGCCGGTCGGTAACTTTCGGGTCCCAGGGGCTGGGAACTGGCAGCAGAGGGGGCGAGCGTGGAAAAAAAGGCTCCTGAGCCCCCGAGCTGGAGCAGAGAATGACGCCTGAAAGGTGGCAGACAGAGGGATTACGAAAGGGAGCAGGATGTTAAATGTTGAGAGGGCAGATAAAAGGGACCGAAACAGGCAGGAGGATTGCAAATTGGAGTCCGGTCTGGGAAATGTAGTGACTTAGTGAAACTGTCTCAAAAAACAACAACAAAAAAGGGGATGTAGCTCAGTGCTAAGGCTCTGGGTTCAATCCCCAGTATCAGAAAACACACGAACAACACACACACACACACACACACACACACACCTGCCAGCCTTTGCTACTCCCAGCTTCACCCCTGACGCCCCACAACCAGTGCTCACTCGAACGGGGAAGTCAGCTACCACGCAAGGCAGTCGCGGAAGCCTCCCGCTGACACCCGGCCAAGGTGCCCCTTCTTTCCCCTTCCCAGGTAGGCAGAGACCCCAGGGCCTGTCCCTCGGATTGGGGCGCACCCGGCAGCTCTGCAACTTACACCCCACGAACAGAATAGAGAGCGTGGACGCGAAGGTCTAAGGCTCTTGGAGACACCACAGCGACCTCTGCACTACCGCCGTCCCTGAGCCTAGGAAGCTCCTCGGGCTGGCGGGTTCCCAACCACCAGGCACCCCGCACTCACCTGCAACTCCGAACCACAGCAGCAGCCTGCCCCAGCGGCCCATCGCCCCTTCCGCGCCCGGCGGAGGCTGCGAGGTCAGAACTCGCCGCTGAGCGCCAGGCTGTCTGCTAGATGCCTGAAGCCAGTCGACTACGCCCACTCCGGACGCGGGTGAGCTCGGAAGGGGCGGGGCGAGAGGCAGTGAGGGCACCCGGGGATCTGTGGCTCCAGCCCTCTGACCTGCTGCTGGCTGCCCTAGGATTTGGCCCGGGTGGGCTTGAGCAGGGGAGGTGGTTCCCACACCCTACTCCTTTGAGGCTGCACCCTGGGAAGTGGCCGGGTACACCTCAGGCACTGGGCAGGGATTTGCAGGTTTCTCGGGCCAGATGGGTGTGTGCCTCCTCCCTGATGGGGGTGTGTTACCATGCATGGGAAGTACTATTTAGTCTTTTCAGGGGCTACTTTGATTGCAGGCAGAACCTCCTGGACACCCTGAGAAACATGAACTTCTGGGCGCTGTCTCGTTAATGCTGTGAACAATTTGTGATGGGGAAGAAGCCTAGAGCAGACGTCGGGAGATCTGAGCATCAGTGCTGGCGTGCCTGGTCACGGCTGAGGTGCAAGGCTGAACAGACCTCTCTGCGCTGAGATGGAAACCCCACCACCTTTGAGATACGCTGCGCCTAGGCAACCGGAAGGGCTAGTTTCCGCCTTTGTTTTGTGTATGGGGTCCTCAAGCTTTTTCTCAAAATGCCCTGCCCACAAACACTGGGGAGTGAACCCAGGGTCTTTGCAATGAGCTATATTCCTATCTTAAACAAACCAACATTGGAGAGAGGGTCTTGGTAACTCACTGAGTTACCCAGGCTGGGCTTGAATTTTCAATCCTTCTGCCTCAGGCTCCATGACTGCTGGGATTACAACCATGCTTTACCCTGCCTGGCTTCAAAATATGAACTTTAAAGGGTGAGGCTTCTGTTTAATATGAGACCTCTGAAAACAAGTTATCATAGTTACCTGATAGAGTCTGAGTAAATAATGGTAGGTGGGCCAGGCATGGTGCAAACACCTGTAATTGCAGCTACTTGGGGGGCTGAGGCATGAGGATTATAAATTCGAGACCAGCCTGGTCAATTTAGCCAGACTGTCTCAAAATAAAAAGGGATGGAGATGCAGCTCCGCACTCCCTGGGTTCAATCCCCAGTACTGAGGGGAAAAAACTAGGGGTAGCCACAAGAGTGCTTCAGTAAAAACTGGTACTCGGGGGCCAGGGATTTAGCTCAGTCGTTCCGCTGCCTGCCTCGAAAGCGGAGGGACCTGAGTTCGATCCCTGGTACCAAAACAAACAAACAAACAAAGCTCGTACTCAGCCTAGGTACCTGCAGACATTCCCTGATGAGGCAGACTCACTTCACAAGGTCCCAGTAAACCAGTTCTCAAATTGTGGTTGGACCTGGATAACAACACCAATATCACTTGGGACTCATTAGAAATGCAAGTTCTGGACCCCATTCCAGATGCATTGACTCAAGCCAGGCATGGTGGCACACACCTGTAATCCCAGCACTCCGGAGGCTGAGGCAGGAGGAGCTGAAGGCCAGCCTGGTCTACCTAGTGAGTTCAAGGCCAGCCTGAACTACATAGCAACATCCTGTCTCAAAACACAAAAACAAGGGCCAAGGATTTAACTCAGTGGTTTTGTCACCTGCTGTGCAAGCACAAGGACCCGAGTTTGATCCCCGGTACCAAAAAAAAAAAAAAGAAAAAAAAAAACCACCACAAAAACAAAACAGATGCACTGGCTCTGAAACTCTGGTGGTAGTGCCCAGCCATCGGTTTTAATATGTTTACAGGTGATTTTTGTCATGTAAGCTTGAGGACTCTTGCGAATGCAGATATAGCAACTGCTTAATTTATTGGACAGTTCTGCATTCAGCAATTCCATCTCTGAAAAGTGGGCTCTCCTTACTAACAGGGCCAGATCTGGCACACTGCACTCACTCTGCAGATACATGATGGTAATTCCACACAGCAAATGACAGTGTAAGCCTAAATGTCAGAATTCAGACAAAAAGGGCTGGGGATTTAGCTCTGGTTCTGCCACCTGCCCTGCAAGTGCCAAGGACCGAGTTCGATCCTATACCAAAAAAAAATCCATGAATTCAGACAAAAGAATGATCCAGAAATTTCACCAGAATGAAGAGATGAGCCAGTTAATGTTCTGCTCTATTCCTTCCAGCCCTGGTCCTGCAGTGGGATGGCGGTGTAAGACAGCTATGCACCAGGCTGATGTCTGACTTCATGTCTTGGAGCACAGGTAGTGGAAACAGGACTACAGATGTTGCCTCTTGAAGAATGTCTATGCTCTGAGAGAGAGTTCTTCTGCAAGTACCCCATTCCCAAAAGCATCACCCTGGCCTGGCTCCACTAAGGAACCAGGACCTGCATTCTTGCTGTGCTCAGCTGTGGACTCAGCTTTCACCTCCCACTGATTCTTCTACCACCCCTCTCCTCCTTGGGATAAACTACCCTCTCCATACCAGCTCTGAACAAACCTGACTACAATCAATCCAGCTGGGTATGGTGGTGCACTCCTGTAATCCCAGCACTCAGGAGGCTAAGGCAAGAGGATTGCCACAAGTTTGAGCCCAGCCTGAACTACCTATCAAGACCCTGTCTCAAACCGCCCCCCCCAAAAAACCCCCCAAATAAAACAAAATCATTCTAAATCAGCTGGGAGACTAAAAAAAGAATTTCCTTCAGCACAGCATTCAGATACCCTTTATTCCTTGCAGACCCTCCGAGTCCTCAGATCCTGAGCTCCAGGTATAGGATGGAAAGGAAAGGCTCATTCTGTCCATAAAACCTCAAACAGTGAATTTTTTTTTTTGTACCAGGAATTGAACTTAGGACCTTGTGCTTGCCAGGCAGGAGTGGTGCCACTGAGCTACATTCCTGGCCACAAACTGTGTTCTTAGCAGGGTGAGTCTTTTGGTCCTCTGTGCCTGCTTGCCCCAACGATGTGATGTCCTCTGGCAAGGCTGGGAAAGGAATCTATCCCTCCACCTGCAATCCCTGATACTCTAGGTCTCTGACACTGCATCCTGGAGCACCCCTGAGGCCAGTGTCTGGAGGTACTGCTGTCGCAGCAGGGGCAACTGGGAGTACAGCTCAAAGCCCTCTGGGAGGCTGGAGCTGGGAAGCTTGTAGTGGAGGAGATGCTGCCGGAGACCCTGAAGAGATGGAAGAAAGGTTATGAAATGGGAAGCGAGAGTATGTTCCCTGCCCCCAAGCCCTTTCATCTCCCACCTTCCTAGGCCCCTGCTTACCTTATCTGCCAGCAGCCATGTGTTCTGCAGCATGCTCCTTCGGGCAGCCTTCACCTCATCCTATGGGCACAAGGGAAAGGTGGCGTTAAGTCTAGGACTGGCACCACTGCTGGCCTTGCCTGACCTTTGCCTCCCCCCAACTGGCTCCGAAGCAGCTCAGTTCCTAGGAATGAAACTTACTGAGCTCTTTGGGTCCTGGGAGAAGATGAAGCTATTAACATGAGCCACAGCCACAGCATAGAGCACAGGGCACCAACATGGACGGAGTGCACCAATGACCAGCGCCCGGAAGTAGAGCTGAAGCAGGGCCAGATTATCTTCAGGAGGCCTTGTGTAGCACTCCAGGGACACAGGCAGCTGTGACAGAAGAAATGACTCATGAAGTGAAGGGCAGGGTGGGAGTGTGCAACACTGGACAACAAGGCAAACAACGGATGGTCACATGAGGGCAGAGACCAGGTCTAGCCATGCAGTAAGACATCCACTCTCTAGCACATGGACAAAGGCTAGCAGACCAAAGAGCTCTTGAGAATTGTTATTGCTTAGTACTTCTTGTTTAATAAACTTACAAAAAAAATTTTTTCAGTGGTAAGGGTCAAACCCAGGCTTTGTGCATGGTAGACAACCACTGTACCACTGAGCCATATCCCAACTTGTTTTTTACAGTTTTTACACTAAGTTGCCCAGGCTGGCCTTGAACTTGTGATCCTCCTGCCTCAGCCTCCTGAGTAGCTGGGATTACAGGAGTGCACTACAATGCAATGTTTTATTTATTAATGTATTTATTTATGGGGTTTTCTATTTTTGGTACCAGGGATTGAACTCGGGTCCTCGCGCCTGGGGGTCTACTTATGGTTTTTTGAGACAAGATCTTGCTATAATGCCAAGGCTGGATTGGAACTTGCAATCCACCTGCCTCAACCTCCCAAGAGCTGAGATCACAAGCATGTGTCCCTGGGGCCAGCTGCAATATAATGCTCTTTATATTTCCTAAACATATTTTTTCTTTTTAGTTCTCTTTTTTTATAAGATACATTCACGTATGTGTATATTAAAATAGCTCTTTTAAAATCATCAGAATAAGTTATAAGTAAAATAAAAACCAAGGATTAAGAAGAAGAAAAGTAGAGGGCTGAGCATTTAGCTCAGTGATGCCATGCCTGCCTGGCAAGTACAAGGTCCTGAGTTCGATCTCCTGGTACCAAGAAAAAAAAAAAAGTAGTAACTTTACAATTTATAATTTCTCTTTCTGTCTCTCTCACTAGTAGAGATTGAACCAGGTCCTCCACACTGAGCTACATAACCCATACCGAGCCCCCCCCGCTTTGGTATCGAACTCAGGTCCTTGCACTTCTACAGCAGGCCACAAAACCACTGAGCTAAATCCCTGGCCCTATTTTTGAGCCAAGATCTTCCTAAGCTGCTAAATCATCAAGGCTTGAACTTGCAATCTCTTTTTCCTTTGGTGCTAGGGATTAAACTGAAGGTCTTCACACTGAGCTACATCTCTGTCCCTTTTTTACATCTTTTTTTTTTTGGTACCAGGGATCGAACTCGGGTCCTTGCACTTGCGCAGCAGGCGGCAAAACCACTGAGCTAAACCCCCAGCCCCCTTTTTTACATCTTGAGACAAGCTTTCCTAAATTGCCCAGACTGGGCTTGAATTCACATTCTCCTGGCCCCGCCTCCCAGTGCTAGAATTAAAGGCATGTAACACCATGCCCAGCTGAGAAAATCTTTTCTGATCTACACTGTAGCACTTTACAGGCAAGAAACTAAGCCTTGTTAACAATAAAAAGTAATAAAGAGGGTTGGGAATATAATCTCGTGTGAAGGCCCTGGATTTATTCCCCTGTACTGCAAAAAAGAAAAAGAATACTTACTATATGCCATTTAAACCCTTTTCATGGATTCTCCTAACCCCCTCAAATCCCCCAAGAGGTAAGGTAAGGAACTTGAGGGCCAGGGATTTAGCTCAGTGGTTCTGCTGCCTGCCTTGCAAGTGCAAGGTCCGGAGTTTGATCCCCAGTACCCCCCCCAAAAAAGATTAGGAACTTCAGGCCCAGCACCCTTGGGTGCCCCACTGGAGGGTGCCTGTGGCAGGCCCTGCCGGGCTGAGGTACCTTGGTCAGAGGCAGGCCCAGAGCACGCAAGGCTCCCATGTGCTCCCCAAAGAGGGCAAGGCGCAGGGTGACACTGAACCGACGCTGCAGGGGAAGGAGGACCAGAGCTGCAAAGAGGTGGTCGCCAAAAGAGACAGCCTCAAAATGCTCCAGGAAGCTGGCATAGAGGTCAGGGAAAGACACAAGGCCAGGGAGCGGGCAGTCCAGGCGGAGGCTTGGCAGGACTTGCGGCCGACAGAGCTGGGCTAGGAGGGCTGCCACCAGATGCTGGATGGGGGTCTCTCGGAACAGCTCGCTGTCCACCAGGAACGTACACATGAGCCGTGCCAGGCGGGCAGCAGGGGGCACAGCCAGGAGGGCCTCAGGGCGCCAGCTCTCCAGAACAAGCACCCACTGCAGGACCCGCATGGCTGTCCCCACAGTGTTGGTGGGAGCAAGCCCCGAAGGAGCATCGGAAGCCTGGTGGTAGAGATGAATCAATGGCTGGAAGGGCCAGTCAGTGGGCAGCAGAGGCTCCTGAGGCGCAGGCAGCAGCAGGGTTGGGACTTGTTGTAGGTCCCCTCGGTACAAGGCCTGGGAAGCCAGCAAGCTGGCCCGGGCCAGTGAACAGTGGGTTAGGTAACAGCTTCGGATGCTGGGAAGGTCCTGGCAGGCCTGAGCTAAGAGAGCCCCTCGCCCACATGCAGGGTCCCCGCTGCTCCCCAAAGACAGCTGATCGGAGAAGTCAGCTGCCTCTGGACCTCCTGATGTGCTCTCTCTGCAACAGAACCCAAAAGTTAAAAGACAAGGGCTGGAACCCCAGTACCCAGAAGGCTACGCCAGCTCGGAGGGTTCCCAGCTTCCCAGAGCCTTCCGTTTTTTTAACTCAGTATTGGAGATTGAACTCAGAGCCGCATGCATGCTAGAGTCATATGCCCAGGTTCCCCAGAGGCTTCTAAATTCAGTCCTGTTTCTCTCGATCCCCTGATGACCTCCCATGCAATGCTGTGAAGTGGTTAAGAGGACAGACGGGGAACCCATACCCGCCCCATGTACAATGCACATAACTTCTCTGTGCTTGCTTCCTCGCAGTAAAGTCTGGACAGTGACAGTCCCTTTGACCTCATGGCACACCCAGGAGGACACACACTCAGTAACTAATGATGCCTCTAGCTGGTTTATATGCCACTTTTTACCTACAGATTTGCACTGAAGTCTCATGATCATTCTCTGGTGTGTGAACCTCATCTTCACTTTACTAATGAGGACACAGGAGCTCAGACAGGTTACATATAAGTCATGAAAAGAAAGGGAAGCCTAGGTCCCCTGCCTCCAAATCAGGCTACTCTGCCAACAACTGTAACAGCACTGGAAGGGCTGGGGTGATGCCCCAAACCTGCACTCACGGGAGGAACTCCAGCCGGAACACACAGCTCTGCAGCAGCTCCTGGGCGAGGTGCTCACTCCCAGGCAGCAACCGGCTCAGCAGGGCCAAGGCCACGGCATGATGGAGAGCAGCACCTTTGGCTGGCCCTGGCTGGAATGTTGCCTGTGGACAGGAGGGAGGGTGTTACCAGTGCAGGGAGGGCAGGGTGCAGGGAAGAGGGCAGAGAAGAGGGAGAAGCCAACACAGGCAGAAGGCACAGACCCAGGGCGTGTCTGCAACACAGGAAGGGCTGCCGGGCCTGGCAGAGAAACAGGAAGGCTAACAGGGAAGGAAGGACCTACAGACAGGGGACCTACCGCTTTCTGGGTCAGGGAGAGTGCCAGGTATTGCAGGTGGTGCTCGTGGCGCAGGGCCCATGCAGAGAAGGGCGTGAGGTGTGGGGCAGGGCCAGGAGCCACACACTGGCGGAAATAGTTCTCGAGTCCTGGGGCAACCAGTACAGCAGCCA